AAAGCAGCACTCAGTACTTTGCCCAAAAAGAAAAAACTACCAGAACTGAAGTCTGCATTAGAGCATAGCGAAGCAGTTAATAGATACATAAGTGAACAACAAGGTTGTATAGTAGTATACAGACTTATAATTTAATAAAGATATATGAGGCAAGACCTCATCTTAACACTGAAAAAAAAGAAGTCACTAATACAACTCAACAATTATTGTAGCCTTGATATAACTAATTTTATTATTCAAAGTGCTTGCTTATAAAATCTATTTGTCATATAAATACCACTCAAACTATAAATATAACCAAAGGCTAAATGAATTTTAGTTATAGCAAAAGTAGTTAATCTCTAATATAAATTCTTTCTAATTAAGTTCTTATCTTGTAATAAATTCTTCATTGGTATATAAAGATTATAATAATAATTAATAAGGTTTAAAAGATTTTTCTAAATTCTAAAGAGCAAATAATATTTGATAAATTAGCTATATTGTTTTGAGAGTTCCATTTTGGATTAATTTTAGAACACTCTTGATATGTAATATAAGAATTATAATTATAATTCTAAATTTTTTATTTAATACTAGTCTTTGTTTAATTGCTTTATATATATGCTATGCACATAACTACAGGTGAGATTATAGCCAAACAAGTCAATAGTATTGATTTCAACAATTGCTTTATCAACAAAAACAAATAGAAAATTAATTAAGTGATGATTTTTTAATGTCTTCATCCAGTTTGTAAATATTTCTGTAATATCTCAGTTTTTACTTATTTCAATAAAAAATAATTTAAGAGAATCCTGTTTCATTAATTACACCCATCATTGTATATAATTTTTACTTATTATAGTTAGTATCATAAGTTGCATCAATTTTCAATAGCATCAAGCTTATTATATGAAAGTATTTTAAAAAGAGATGTCTTAAAACCAAGTATATCAGCTGGAATTGTTATATCATTAATAATCTCTTGTTTAAATTTATTTAATAATAAATGTACTGATTTTAAAGGATCTAAATTATGTTGATAAATTTTTCATAACTCTTTAGACCACCAGAAATAAACTGAAGCAGCTTGCTTCACCGACACTCAACTCACTGACATCTTAGTTCACTAACATTTAATTCATCAACAAGTTCATTTACCTACAGTTTATTTTACTAACAGCTCATTTTACAGACAAAGTAATTCTGGTCATTGTCATTAAGGTCAGGCCAGAATTAGAGTTAAGGTTAGTGTAAACTTGTTGGTAAAAGGAACTTGTCAGTAAATTAATTGTCGATGAAATGAACTTGTTGGTGAATTAAATGTTAGTGATCTAAGATGTCAGTGAAGTGATTGTCGGTGAAATGATATGGACCCAAATAAACTTGTTAAATACTTAAATTGTTATAACTATTAAGTTGTCTTTCTTAAATTTGATACCAAAGTTTAGAAACTGATTAATTTATATTATAGCAAAATAAATCTATGTATTACTTGAGTTGTCTAAATATATAAAGGATGCAAATGCAAAATTAAGTACAAATAATCAACCTCAATTAAATTTTTATTTTTTAATATTTTGATATTTATAGTGCCTTTACAATCATACCATTTAAGTCATGCAGAGGTATCTCTTTGTTTATTAATATCTAAAGGCTTAGTTCTACAGTTGTATCAATAAATTAGATGCAATATATTATTAGTTGAAGTTTGAGTTTTGTAAACCCAATTATAGCTATCTTCTTTTTCTATAAATAATATAATTTGATTGCTCAACTCTTTATATTGTTTGTTTGTATAATTTTTTATTGAATTATTATTTTGTAATAATCAAATATCAAAATTAATATAAAGTTCAGAATCACTTTTATATTGTTCATTAGTTTCTTCTAAAGATCTTAAAGAATTGTAAACAAATTTGCTAATATCTTCAAAACTAATAGCTGATTCACTTCTAGAATTATATTCTTGTATTTGATCTTGCATTTGATCTAAAGTTTTTTTTTTATTTGTTATGACATTTTCAAAAGATTGCTAACTGCTTTCCCTTATTATTAAAAAAATGTTTACAGCTTTGTTCAGTATAACATTTGTTACAACCAAGTTTTTGATTGAACATTTTTTTTATTGCAATAATTATTTGATATTTGTTAATATGTATATACTCATTATTAATAAATAATGATAAGAATAATAATAAGTAATGTGATTCATTATTATGATCATTTTCAAGTGATGTCAGTGACATTTTTTATAGGCGATGGAGTTGTTAAAAAAAAGCTTAAAGTTGAAGTATAAGATTAATAAAAATATAAATAAATAGAAAAGTTTTAATTATACAATTTTAAATAAATAAGTTAATAT